TAGTGATAGATTGACCTGGATGAGGGGACAAAATGAACTAATAAAAGTGAATATGAAGGAGAATGTCATTTAAGAAATACAGATTCAAGTATTAACTGTTGGATATTTTTAAAGGAAGAAATCTCACATTAGTGTTCGGTGATTGTGACGGTTCATTCCTTTTGGGGAGGTGTGACATATCATAAAAGAAAGCAATACATAAATTCATAAAAATCAAAAGAATAGCCTTTGGTAATGTTCAGTATCCAAATGTCTTACTGACAGCTGGATGACATTTAAACAAAACTTTTGACCCGTTTTTCTATGGATGGTGACTCTCTTGTTGTCTCTGGTTGTAACAGTATATTGTCCTAAAAGAGACGACAACGTTATTCAATTATGTGAAAGAAACAAAAACAGGCCTATATCAATAGATTAATACCATTTACTCCAAAATGTCTACCTGGAGGCCTGTATCTGTGGGAGTGGATTCTTCAGTCCCCTTTGGTGAGTGTGAAACATCATTCTAAGACAAGACAAAAGGAAATATACAAAAGAGGGAAAAAACAGAACAGTCCATTTAAAGGTGTGTACAGTTGATTTTCTTTCCAAAACCATTCAATTTAATTGGGCGCTATAAAACCTTTAGCACATCAATTTACTATATCCCCCACAAATAGCCTCATGTTTCCTTTTGTAAATGTCTGATTTATTTTCTTACTTAGGACTTACATCATTAGTGTCACTCCAGAAGTTCCCCTTCCAAGTCATGTAGATATTTTTTGATTTTCCTGTACAATTTCAGACAAAACCTTATGAGAGACACAGCTTCACAACTCTAGACTACTTTACCATTAGTCTAGATCAGGGGCTCAGCCAGGGTCAGAAATCAACTTTACCATTAAGAGGCAATATTTCCAGGGCCATTATTTACATTTGTAAGGGCAAATTTGATATTCACCGTATTAATTGCATCCATGTTGTATTTAATGTAAAATACTTAAATTTAACCATTTAATTTAATCAATCAGAATACTTAAAACTGTTACCAATAACAACAAACTGTTTAAAACTTTATATAAATTGTACATAAAAAAAAAAGTAATAGGGCTGCAAAATTGTATAAAAATCCTTATTGTTGATTATTGCTTTTGTTATTTTAATCGTGATTATTAATGTCAATTAATAGAACATAAAAACGTTTTGTGTTTCTTCGTT